ATACCGTACATGTCACTGACATGTCAAAAACCATGTCATCGATAGCAAGTCGCACGAGCCGTTTCCTCTTTAAGGAACAGGGTTGCAGGAGGCACAGCAGCTGAGCGTGCGCCTACTCTTGAGAATCTGAGACTCTCCCAGGCGAAGCTGAGCACCCGAGCGATCCTCACCAGGCCTGGTCGCTCGGAACTGCTCAGCCCGCAATCTTGCACATTGTCGAGGAAATGTCTGTCTCCAAGCAAAAGCGCTGGAAAAGAGCCAGCCACGAGCTCAGCACATCCTGGCACTTTGGACAGCTCGTTGCGCCGTGCACGTGACGTCGGGCGACAAGATCGGCCACTTTGCGGTGGCTCAGCATGGGGCATGCTGAACCCCATCCCTTGACCTGAGCCGGGTGGGCACGAGTAGGTCATGAGATCGTGCAACCGTAGCCGACTGTAGCCAGGCCTGCAGCGAGCGAATGCCATGCTGTCTGCGGAGATCGAAGCCCGAAGCGGAGAGGCACCCCAAAAACCACAGGGACGTGTAATGCGTGGGATGCGTGGGCGGGGCCGTGCTCCGAAGGTCGTGGCCAAAGGCCTGGACACCCTTGGAGCACTGCTTTCAAAGCTCCGCCAGCTTCAGGACCCCCGGGTCGGCAATGAGATGCAATGAGCCCTTTAAAAGACCCGCCTAAAGCGAACAGAGGCTGCCAGCGAGGTTGCCATCGCGCAGGCAGCCTTCGGGCCCTCCTCTTTCTCGCATCTCCTTAATTTCCTCTCTGTGAGAGGCGACGGAGCAGACCGTGCAAAGGGCCAGGCCCGAGCCTCGGAGGGCGAGAGAGCCGCGCGGCCTCGCGGTGCCGTGGTCGCCTCTTAGGAGCCTCGGCTCGAAGGCACGTGCAGACCGAGACCGCGCAGACGAGGAGAGTTGACTCAAAAGGAGCCGTGAGATAAGAACGTCGGACCGATTGACCCCGGTGCAGTGTCATCGAATGGTGCATTCAATGGGGAAGGGCAGCGTGCTTCGTTTCAAAACCAAGCCGAGCCATGCTTGCCTCAGATGGTGTTGGCATGCAGATCGAATCATTTTTGGAGTTGGTTCACCTTTTTCTCTTAGGCTCCAGGACTAAAAGCAGGCAGCACCATGGTAGCCCTGCCTGTCACAAGAGCAGCTGCAGACTCCAGACCACTTGCGAAGCTGCACAGGATTGCCGGCCAAAGTCGGTACTCACCAGCAGCTGTTGACACTCACTCCTACTTTGTTTAACCTAGCCACACCAGGCATGTCCCACTTCACCAGCTACAGCCCTCAAAGTCGCGGAGTGTAGCGAAGCAGTGCATCCATTGGTGTTGCTAAAGCCTTGGCCATGCGAGTAATGTCAAGCTTCAGACATTCGTCAGCGATGGTCTTGACAAGAAGCGGCGCGCGGCATTGACGCGGCGGCATCAAGGCGGCAGATTTGCAGTCCTTCAATAATTCCTCTGAGCTCCCGCGCCTTCCATCGGTAGGAGACTTGTAGGCAGGGCTGGATATAAAGCGAGCGGTCGTTTCCGAATGTCAATAGATGCCGGGATCCCTCTGGTCCGAGATGCACTCATCGAGACGATGGTTTCTTTTTCTTCGGAGCATCGGCGGGGGTCTCTTTGCGACAGTCTATCGTGTTTGGACACATGCGACCGAAGACATGCCTAGCAGCCTAACTGTCGTTCCACGGCTAGTGCCAGGCTTATCGCCGCTCCAGCGATGGCAGCATGGTTGCCGCTGCCTTCAGCATACCGGGAAGCAGAGCGGCGGCGTGTGGGGCCTTTCCGAGCATAGAAGTCTCAGGCTGGTGGTGGGCGTTGTGATCGCGGTCGGCTTGGTCATTTCTTCAGCATTCAGCTTTTGGCTGGCGTTGAGGCTTGGCATTGTCTCCTGCGGCCTCTGTCAAGCGGCAGTGCAATTTCAGGCAACCAGATTCCTTGGAGGAGCTGGGCGCTGGGGCCTAAGCTCTGCATGTGTGAAATCGCAAGTCGGCTTGGCTTCAAGCAGGAAAGTCTTGAGCCTGAACTACTTGCAGTATGTGTCTGAGGTGAAGCCCACGTATCCAAGAAATGCGTTGCCAGAGGACAAGATCCAGGCCGACAGGGCTCGACGTGGGAGCTTCCAAGGGCTGGAAACACATCTTCAAGCCCGCCTGTTCCGCGAGGCATACCAGCAGCTGAAGAGCAAGTTGCAGGGCGAGTTCGCAAAAGACCTGCCCGAACTGTGGGATCTGTTTGGCATTTCGGGAGCCTCCAGTGTTGGTTGCCTTCGACCGTGTGCTCTTCCTGCACCAAGATCCATTCACCTTGCTAGTGGCAACCAGCTGCCGGAGATATCGGAACTTGCAGTACTCACCTTCCTCTAAGATTCCCGCAGACCAGAAGCGACAGTGCAGTCACCAACTAGAACAGAATAAGTGCCGCGTAAAGACAGGGCGCGAAAGCCTTTTTCGGGGTCTGCTTGCTCTGACAGCCTTTGCAGGACATGGCTGGAGATCAGTGGGTGTGCAAGCTGCCGCCACATGCAAAAGACTTGCTGAAGTGCCCCATGAGGACTCTGTCTAGGATGTCGGTTTCCCAGAGATTCTTGTTCAGGTACAGGCTCATGCAGCGTGCCATTGGAGACATGTCTCTGTTGCAAAAGATTGATGCAGATGTCATACGCCCAGCAGTTGAGCGCCGCATTCTACTAGTATGGCAAACGATCAGAGCATCAGCACCCTCGTTCACTGAACTTAGGCCCGTGGATATTGGAAGCTCTTTTCCAAAGGCATCATTACGTCCAAGTTTTGGAATTCAGCCACTGGGCGCAGATGCAAAGCCAGATTCGCAGGTTTGTGCCGCATGCTGCGCATCCTTGAGGTGCTGGCCGCCGAGCGAGAGCTCTCGCAAGAAATCGAGGCTCTCAAACTCGAGGTTCATCTGCTGAAACACACATGTTCCAGGCTTGAGGCACAAGACAGACGACATCACGGTACCCCCTGGCCCTTTAGCCCCCTGTAGCTCAGGCATTGGCCATTGAGCCGCTACAGGATCCACAGGGCATCGTGTCGGAAGTGCGCCGGATCAGGTATCGCTTTGAGCAATCTTCAAACATGTGCACACTCGCCGCGCTGAGGCTATGCAGCTTGTTGTCAGATACGGCGACAAAATCTGGGAAAAGTTTCCGGAGCCGCCGGAGAATCCTGGAGGCTCGGTGATGAGCAATGTTGAATTTAAGACCTCCGCTAAAATGGCTTGAGTGTGCCTGGAGCATGTGTCTTGCTCGGATCTGTTTCTGTTGTCAAGCTGTTCTCAGTTTTCATGACTGCATCAGAATTTCTCCTTCTCGACGAAAAGTATCGCTGCGACAGTTAGTTTTCGCGCTGAGTGGCGCGGAGTTTGATTTTACGAAAATTGCCATGGCTCAGTCCTGGGCACAGAACGTGGCCCAACCAACGGATCTGCACTCCGTTACGGACACTTCTATCGCTGCTTCCAGCGTACTGGTGTTAGACGGTGTGGAAGGGCAGCCACAGCAGGACATCTAGCCAGGGGTCGTGCCAGGGGTGCTTTAGCGATGGTGCGCCTCAAGCCCCCAGCTGTACTGCAACATACTGCAACCATGCAACAGCGAAAGTTTGCACCACGGCACTTCCGAGATGCATTCCCAATCTCTCTGATTCCCTGCCTACCCTTGCTCCCCCGCACTCTTTATGTCTCTCTCTGGCTCTGCTCACTCGCTCGCTATCATCGGTAAGAGATATTATGAGGAACTTGGCGCACTCGTTCTGTGGGCATCCTTGGGCCTCGAATCGCACGAGTTGTCAAAGTTGCCAACGCTTAATTTGGCCGGTTTTTCTCCATCCTGGCTGGTGAGCGGACCATTGCGAGAGCGAGTCGAGGGTCTCTGCTACTCGTGGTAAGACCTGGCAGGTGCAGCGATGGCCGCGGCGGCGAAGGCTGCGAAACCAGGCTCCGAGGAGTCTTACTCTTCAAACTTGATCACAGTCAGGCCGTGGCTGCAGCTGGAGGGATGCCCAGACCTGGAGTTCCGCCTGCTTTCGCGCCCCCACCAGGGCCCCCGCCAGATACTTCGTCTCTTTTCTTGGCGGTCAAGTCCTTGTGGGTGATCAGCGAGGCCTCCGCAGCAAGGTGGGTCGACTGAAGCCTACAAGTGGCGGCAGGAAAGCGTTACATGGTAAAATGTACGAATCCGACAAGCAAGCAGTGGCCAGCGGGCATCGAAAGTCGTGCAGGATACCGAGGAGGTTGAGATTTCTGTCCACGTCCCAAGTGATGCGGCGAAGGCAGACATCAAGGTTCGCCGCAGTTTCTTGCGGTGTGTCCGACTCAAGACGGTTGCCACAGCTCTTCCAGTGGAGGTTCAGTTCCAGCCGAAGTCTCTCAAAGCACGCCTTAGCTTTGCATTGGGACAGGCTGATGCCATGAATGCAATTTCTTGCCCCCAGTGCAATGCGAGGTCCTGCATTGTGGCAGAACGCTGGTTGAGGGGGCTCTTGCAGCACCATGTTGCCCAGAAGGCCGCCGATGGTTTTGGAGTCATGCAGCAATCGCAAAATCGCTGTCCTGACAGAGGTTGCACTTGGACTTTGAGCAAAGGTGCTCTCGTAGCCCGGACCTCGACCACGAAAGTTTGGGGATGCGAGGGGATACTTCTAGGACGCCAAGGTGACCTTGGAAAAAGCCAACCCGAAGCCTTGGCCTGGTCTCTTTGCGGCAAAGACCTGAGCTGGCCAGAGTGATGCTAGCAGATCTAGCAGCTAGCAGGAGAACATGACGTGCTCTGCTGTGAGATGCCGTGAGTCTGGTTTGTCGCAAGTCATCGTACTGCGCATGCGCATTCGTTCTTTGGCAATGCCACTTTGGCCCGAGCCTGCTGACAAACGGCCTCACTACGCGCGAGCGCAGACAGCCCAGGTCTGAGACTCAGACCGGGAACTTTGAAGGCCGAGTCTACTTGCGCCCGCAGGAAGACCTTGAATCGCTCCCGAAATGGTGGCAGTGACGCAAGCGATTGAACATGAACCGCTCTTCGAGTCGTAGCCTGAGAATCCGAGGACACGATCGGTGGTGCTGCATATGCCTGTTTCCACTCTTGCAAGGTTCAATCCGGCTGCACCGGAGTTCAGTCCGTCACAGCCAGACTGCCTAGCTTTGCTAATGCTGTGCGCTCTCACGAAACCTTGCAATCGTAAAACCTGTGGCATGCTGCTGGCGACGTTGCCATATCTTCAAGAACATGTCCGAGAGCAGTAGTAGTAAGAGGTTTCCCGTGGATGGCGACTCGACAGGTTCCACGCTGTGCTCGCCTCGGTGCTGTGTAACGTGAGCTGTGGTCGCTTCTGCCTAAGCAAGCTATATGGGCAAGCTGCAGGGGGTCTTCCGAGCGGCTGGCGAAGAGGGTCGGATGCAAGAATAATCGTCCGCACGGAGCTTACTCCAGAGACAGACAAGCTCAAGTACAACCGCGTCCATGTGCACTCGTTTTTTCTCAGGCCGTTGCCTCATGACCGTGGCGAGAAGGAAAGTACGAGTGGGCAGGCTTTGACACTGGCGGAGAATCTGATGTCATCATGTCGATAAGATCCTGCGAACTGTGAAGGAGCCAGAGCCGGAATCACGAGCTCTGAGCTGCTCTCCACTGCTTCCGCGCAGGGCCCTTGCTCACGAAGGGCTCCAGAAGGTTACATTCCCTATATTCCCTGTAGCAAGGCCGTTCGGGCCGCCCATCCCAGCGACAGGCAGGCAGAAGGCGCGGCGAATGCCCGCGCGGGAGCGGCGAAAGTGCGAGAAGTGCTTGGTGGCCGAAGGCCATGTGCGACTGCACCAGCTTCACCTGCCCTCAGCATGGGTGCGCTCCCCATACCCCACATACACGATGAATTATGGAAGACTGATGTCAAGTCCTCGTCAAAGCTGTGCATTTCAGGTGGAAAGCTAGGGCCTTGCCGCCGTGGCAGCGAGGAGGCTCGGCCAATGTACAGGAGATGCTTGGCACAGCGGACCAGTAAGTTACCTGCAGGTCTCCACTCTGGTCATAAAAAACTTGGCGTTAGACTTCCGCAAGGACCTGTTTGAACCTGTTTTCGGCATGCCAGCACGAAGGTTCAACAGTTATCCGCAAGTGCGAGGGCCGTAGCAAGGTGCAGAAGGAACGGCACACAAATTTCGCTTGATCCCTCCAACACTTCAGAGGAGGATGTGGAGGTATTTCTGGAAAGCATGTGCGTGGGAGCTGCCGAGGCAGGCAAAGGGCGACAAGTCTCAGCGTGCCTGGAGCGCAAGCGCCTTCGTTGCCTAGTCCGAGCTTCGAGGTTGACATGCATGTCGACCCCGCCAGTGGATCCTTTCGAGGTACGCTTTGCAGATCACGCACACGGCATCCGAACGTATTCGTGGTGAGCATTTTGCCAACTTTTGGGCGGCTTTTCTCCCGCATTTGCATTAAGTACCATTAAGTCCTTCGTAAGTTCAAGCCTCGTAATCTCGAGGTGATGTGTCCGGAGAACCTGCAGGTAAAGGCTTGTAGCGATTTCGCCAGCCTGTTCGTCTAATTGCGTTTTCATTATCAGGCCACTCATGGCTCCTGTCGGATCCGTGCACGCTTTGATACTGTATGAGGAGACTCAATATCGAAGCAACGAATTTGGCAGCAGTGTCTACGCTCGTGGATGTGAAGCATTTTAGTTGCGCCCTTTAGCGTGGCTTCTGACGGGTGACAGTTGCCGGCAAGGCGAATTGATCTGCTGATCGCTGCTGCGCAACATGCTCTGACCGATACAGAGTCACCCCTGCGATCCGGAAACATCACCCGCGCTTCCAGATCTCTCCGCTCCTTATGCTGTTTTGCAGGCACGGCGTTCGTCCGGTATGCTTCCCCTGCAAAGGCACCTGGGGCACTCTGGGAGCTAAGTCGGGTATCCCACTTCCAGCAGGGTCATATGCTTATTCAGAGTGCCACATCAAGGTACTCCAATGTCCTTCGACTTGCAAGTTCCTTGCACTTGCCAGGCACGGGAGGCTTTGCAGAAGCTTGGGCCGTCTCCAGACATTGGTGGTAGAAAGGCAGGCTCTGTGCGAATATCGGCATTTTGGTGACTTGCGTTATTGAGCCGATCAGGCGAGAGTCGAGGTTCAGAAGTCCAAGAACCTCTTTGGTCGGAGAAATGCAGGTGGCGAGTTGCCGCAGGAGCTTGCAACAACTGCTGCGCTCTCTTTGCACTTGCACTGATAACTTGACCTCGTTTCAAACAGGAGCTGACCCTGGTGCAACAAGAGATAGAGCTGTTCCTGCAAGGCTTCGAGACAGAGGCTGTCGCAGCGCTAGCTGGCAACAGATGCCACCTTACTGGCAAGTTACCTGCAAGGTTTGCCTCTCGGCTACTTTCGATGCCCATCAGCGCAAGTGACCCACTGGCCCATGGGGCGATTCATATCTTCATATCTATCGCAAGGACAAAAGCACAGTCCTCGTGCCGGCAGGTATGCCCACTCGCTGGCAGAAAGGCACAATCTCGTGCATGCCACAAGACAAAATGAAAGTGGGCAGACGTGCCCCCCCCCCCCCCCCCCC